AATTTAGAGATTCGAACTTTAGTTGGGTCTTGCAGTTTCCTACGCATCCTATGTTATTGAAATACACATTTTCTTTCTGTATTTAAATATAGTTCCTTTATTAATGACACATATTTCAAAGAAATGTTATATAAGGTATTTCTCCCGCCTTCTTAGCAAGTCTTCGTGGTGTAATACTCAGCACGCTCGGCAAGTATTCGAGAGGTCCGTAATTCGAGTTCCGGTTAGGGCATTGCTCATTTTTAATTTCTCCTGTTTCGAAATAACCTAATGTCTCAACAGTGGTGCCAGAACTAAAAACGTAGGTGGTGGATAATGATTCTCCACCACCAAGATATGGCGATTCGGTCACCTAATCCCCAGTATATACTGTATTTCTCCCGTCTTCTTAGCATGCTTTCGTGGTGTACGCTCGGCGCATATTCGAGAGGTCCTTTGTTCGAGTCCCGGTGAAGGCATTGCTCACTTTTCATCTCTCCCGCTTCGAAATAAACTAATGTCTCTACAATGTGATTATTAAAAAACAAACAAAGAAAACATTCCGATTTATTTTGTCTCAGGTTTCAGCTTTAGGATAGTTTGACCGCTATTTGAATTACATTGTTTCCCAAATGCAGTAATTTAACTGTACAATCTGTTATCAGATAATTCTTTTTAGTCCAAAGGGCGTTAACCAAATGGGATATTATTCTCGAAACGTATTTTACGTCGCCCACTACAAGCGCCTGTATGACTTTGCAGATTGTTGCCGCGAAGTGTTATGGCCCTGTAGTATTTTTAAAGAAATTAAAAATCCTGAAATAAATCTTTGGAAACAATGGCGTGCAAAAACATTAGTTTAAACTGCTTTTCCCTTTTTTAAGTTAGTACAACTTTAAAATGTAGCACAAATGTATGTAACATAACATACATTTGTGCTACATTTGCACAAATGTATGTGTGTAAGTGTAAAGTGTAAGTGCTGCTTTTGAATATGAAATGTAACATATTCAAAAGCAGCACTTGTTCCCTAAATTCAGTGCCACATTTTTTTTAATTAAGTAGAGTGTAAATGAAATATTCAGTTAACAGATAAATCTTTGTTTGGGTCTTGAGAAAAACTATGCATTTTGAAATGGTAAGGATTAATTTAATAATTACGAAAAATAATTTTATTCATGATACAACTCGAATTCTTTTCTAAAAAATGCCATTTGGAAAATATGTACATCACTTCCAAAAAAAGAAATACTTAGAAATGTCAGTCACTTCGAACTTTATTTCGTAAGACAGTCCTTCGCATTCGTTTTTATTCATACAATCAAAAGAGGACAATCACACAGCTGTGTTTATTTATGCAACCAAAAGAGGATGTGTGCATATAGCGTCCTTGCAAATTGTGGACTTCTTAAATAAAAGAAATTTTAACATTTTACGAGTTGTATCATCATTCTGAATTTAATTGAAGAACTTTGGTGCAAAAAGATTTCCAAAATTCCAATTCCTTCATAGGGTTCTCGGTTTGGTGGTGTACAGCACATGTCTCGTATTCCACCATAGCCCAACCATGGTGTGTGCATGTGTGTGTTTATATTGTAGCATGCTTTTTTTTTTTTTTTTTTTTTTTTGTCTTCCTAGATTCCCAGTCTTGATTTTCTTTGGCCAACCTTATCCCCTTTTAAATTGTAGTTTAGGTATTGCCTTCAGAATCAGAATCTTCATTATCAGATGACTCAGCAAATGCATCTGCCCTATTCAAGGGAGCCTTCTGTTATTTCATAAGTGAATATTTGCTCTACATTCAAAGGTTTTTCCTTCTTTTTAGCAAGAATATTTTCAAGAAATAAAATTTTTAAATTTTTATCAAAGTTCATACAGTTTTCAAGTTTATCAAAACATCTAACATCTTAGCTTATAATGATTTTTCTGAATTTTTTATTCTACAGCCTGTATGTTTTTGATTCACTTGAGTATCTTGCAAAAATATATTCTTCTAATCAAGGATCGAATTACCCTTTAGACCTTTTATTAAGTACAAGACATTTCTGTCTGAATACTTTGAAGAAAAATACAGATGGCTTGATGCCAAAAACTCGCATGGCGTCTTGTTTATGCCGAGGCTTCAAGGTCAGGCAATGATATAAACAGCACAATTCAAGGCTTCAGTCCAAAAGGATTAGAAGAGCTTTGCAATAAAAAACATCTGGCCATTTCAGTTACAATTCATGTGTTTAATTCTCAAATTCTGTTGAGAGTCATGGGTACCAAGCGTTCTCATTTAATCCCACATTCTTGAAGATATTTATTAAATTCTTCTCTGCAATATTCAGGAACTGTATCAGTATGAAGGACTTTTATTTTCTTTCTTCAATGATTTTCAACTGCAGCTTAATAAATGCATTTTTTACTTCATATTTTAGTTTTAAGAAAACTAACTTAGACAAAACATGATTTTTTAAACAGTAATTACATTTTAACCCTCTAAGCGGCAACGCCGTATATATACAGCCTAGAATATTTTTTTTGATATCTGTAAGAACGTATATATAAGTGCATATTGAAATATGTTAAAGAAATTAAGACAATATATCAAAAGGAAACAAATCCAGGTATCAAATACCAGGAGAATTTTTACATTAAAATAAAAAAAAAATATTTGTTTTTAGACTAGTTTTAGGAAATTTGTGCTTTCTTAGCGAAAACCCTGGCCGCTCAGAGGGTTAAGTTGCAATAAATTCCTTCAACATGAAAATTTTTTGTTTGAATTTAACTCTTAATTTTTAAATTTTCTTCTTTTCTTGACTCCTTCTTTTATTTTCAGTACAGTACACATTTTGTGAATCTTGAGATGTTTTCCTTTTCTTGCTTCCTATTCTTCTAGCATTCTGATTTTCAAAGATTTGTGACTAGGTAATTCATCTCAATTCGATGGTGTATCTAAAATTTTCAGAGTTTTCTGGAACACTGCAGAGCAAAAGAATCAATAATAAATGAGCAACTATGTCAATTTCCATTTCTTTAAGCTTATCCACTATTTGAAAGAAACAGTTCAAATGTTAAGACATCATTTTGCTTTCAACCATTTTTCTAAACAAAAGCTTTTTTAATTGAGTAGAATTCTCCGCAGGTCCTTTTGATTCAAACAATGCTTTACACGACGCAGTTCACTAAGATTAAAGGCAAGAATTATGTCTGTGAGAGCTTTTGATCACCTTGAAGCCATTTGTTTTTGTGTTCGGTTCCCTCAGTAGGTTTAAGTTTTTCACCAGTCACATTATCCCAGTGGTTGTTTTTAATCAATACAGCTTCTAGCAGTCAAAATTATTTTTCCTGATCATTTCTATAGTAGTCAAATGCAACGTAATGTAATACAGTCTCTCACAGACATAACACGATTGAGCAATTAAAAAAAAAGGTTTAATATAACACTGTTCCAAATCTGTCTATGGCCTTATAGATAAAATGCATATCAGCGAGCTCTGTGTTTGTGTAGTGATGCATATCATTGCAAATTCACAAGGAGAATGATGATTTATGCGATCAGATTGCATTACCTTATACTCAGCAATGCCATGTACCATCTCAACACACCCTGTCTGCATGCATATTCTATTAAAAACTCTGCTTATATCAGTCAATCCTTTACATTTTTAACACATATTTTTTTTTAAATCACCCTGTACCAAAGACTTCTCTTCAAGCTTCAACAGTTCTTGCACTAGATCAGGCTTAAGAGTTAAAACTCGAAACTTGAAAAAGTCCATTTTAAAGAGAATTTTTGCTACTTAGGCACAGTTGAAACATTTCTGACACATAACCACTGAAGGAAAAATGAACTCGGACAGATTATATTACTCAACATTTTAATTAGATAGATGGATAATTACAGTGTATGCACAGGAGAGAAAAACAAAGCATAACATGCGCATATAAATATAAGTGAAAGACAGAGCTGGCGTCATTATGGTGTGGGTTGATAAGGACGAACTTGGTTTAGTTGATTATAGCAAAGCACACTAGGGCTATCTGCCTATGGGGACGGATGCCTTCATGGAGGACTTTCTAAGAGAAACTGGCCGATATACACATTTCACATGAGAAAAACTATGAAAATGCCCATGCAGCCAACTCATTCACCAGGAATAGAACTTAAGTCAGAACTAACAGGGTTCAGCAATTTTACTGCTCGACCACTGGTGAGCTGTGTGAACTATGCATGTATCAAGACAAGACAAGCCAAGCTATAAGCTAAATGGCAGATATTATAATCCAATATTTACATATTTTAAATCCCTTTTAATAGAGGTTAACATAAAATTTCACAACAATTTAAAATACTTACAAATAACAAATATCAAACAAATTTTATCAGTATTTGTTGGGAAATTTACAGTCCTCCCTTTGCAGCTGCTCTGAGCAGAAAAGGTGAACTATATAATTCTGCAGCAGAATCCTCCTGATGGAGAGAGACAGAGTAAGAGGTGAAGATAGTGTTCTTCCGAAGTGCCTTATTAACGTGGCCAACAGCCGTGAATTATTTCAGAGTGGGGGAGCAATCTGAAGACATGGAATATAGTTGTGGAACACTAGATTGTAACAAGAATCCAGCCCAAATATCCCGGATAATGTACTACACCTCCAAGTACTTGCCTAACCAAATGAACTATCAAGTAGACTCAACTCATGTTGTACCAGTCAAGAACATTCATCTGTTATTCATGATATGATTTTACTAATGTGTCATAGTCTGACATTATATGTTAAACTCAAGGAAAGTAACCATTAAATCTCACGTTTTCAACTTAGTGCAATTGTACTCCTTTGGTAGGGAACCACAGTTTTACATGTACTATTGCGTATAACTCTGAAGACCCTTAAAAGAACAAAAATTTTAAAACCCCAGTTTTAAAAAACGTGTTTTAATTATTCAGCTTTCTATATTAACTAATTTACCTTCTACTGAATCAAAATTATTCTAAAGCATATTTAAATGAATGGATTAATTAGAAATACATCCTAACCTCATAAGAAACTGATCTACTTGTTTCAGCTATGTCCTTTTTAGACTTTGAAGATTCAAACACAGTTAGAGTTCCAGATGGATGAGGTGGAACACTAGGAGATCTAGGTTTTACTTTGCCAGGCTTAGTTGAACCTGTTCATAAATACCCAGAAAAAAAATTGATGAATTTTAGAAATAATAAATGATTTGGATCAAATACTGACATTCAGATAAGATAAAAGCATTTATTATTCTAAAAAATATATAAAAATTTTAACACCAATAATAAAATTTCAAATATTCACAATTCTACTATAAATAAAAAAATTAAAATATAAATGATTATTACATACAGACATTTAGCATGAAATAAAATATTTAAATTTAAAATGCAAAAACTCTTCCTGAAACTCGGCAGATGTCTATCTTCCACTGTGTAAAGGACTTATTTTCAGCTTTCTGCACATGAGAATCAAAACTTTAGTTAAATTATTTAGATCAATTATTCAGCCTAAGTATGACAGTGAAACCTGGATGCTTGGTTTTTTACAATTACCGTGGGAGAAAACCCTAAAAACAAGTGTTTTTGCTTGTTGTTGTTTTAAAGTACATTAATCATCTCATTCCAAGTATGAAAGATATAGCATAGTTCCACAAATAGATGTTTCAAATAAAATGAGAAATACACACTGATTTGACTTTTCTTGCTCTTGGCTACAACAAAGAGTTTTTCAAATTATTCATAAGGAATCATTTCTCCCTACGACAGAAGTTTTTACATCATTAAAAAAATTACTCCCCATATGTATGTTCTAAGACAATGTTATGACATTAAATCTTTCAACTGTAAATATGAACTGCTGACATTAGAAATACTGTCCACCCTTCCTCTCAATGAGTCAAAGATTAAATTATTATTCATGCCTTTTCAGTAAGACAATAACACTCAACAATTCAATAACATACTCTTTACTCTCAGGATTGTAGCAAAAATTGAATGATTTGATAAGATATATGTTAATTTTTTTCTTTTAATTCCTTGATTGATGTCATGAAAAAGTACAGCCAGTTTTGTAGATTTTGATTTTAGTGAATCAAAAAAATACCAACTTACAAATTTTCTACATAATTGTGTAATTTCAATTTGTCCTTAAGTATTAGGTAAATAATTTTACCTAATACTTAAGGACAAATTGAAATTTCTACAACCAAATTTTTTGTCTTCTGATCTGAAATTCATTGATTCATAACTGGCAAAAATATGAGTGGCATAAATTTATCACTTAGAAAATATCTGACAAAAAAGAAACCTTGGCAAGCATAATCCTAACTGCATAAATTATATTTAAAATGACACTTTTAGCTGAAAAATCACTGAAGCTTTGAGTTGTACAAAATAAGTAATAAGTAGTTTCTTTGAATCTGACACCGGTAATACAGCATAAAGAAAGTTTTTCTAAAAATAAAACTAAGAAAATGATAGTACACAAAGTGATTCAACAACAACAACAAATAATAATAATAATAAATAAATAAATAAAATTTAAAAAAATGAATAATTGAACATAAGGATTATCTGTAGCATTCACTGTATGCTGGGCCAAAATTTATAAATAATAATAATAATAAAAAAAATCGCAAAAATAAATTTATTACAGTAAAGAATTATTTGCTTAAAAATTAACCAGTGATGATTAAAGAAACTCTACAGAGATACTTCTTTCTTTAAAATTACAAAGCATTAATTATATAAGATCAGAATAAATGGATCTTTGCTATTATTGGACAACGTGGCATTAAAATTTTTCTAAACATGAAAAACCTGCCTTTTACAGGGGTGTTTGTGGGACCCCAAAAAATCCCCTGAAACTTTCACGGACTTACTACCCAACATTTTAGAGTTTCGAGAATTACCTGAATTAATTCTTTTAAAAAAAAATTATCTAATTTATGCTGCTTTTTTTTATTTTCTGATGTTTGTGGGCTTGTCTTTCTTTTGCGGTGAACTTCATAATTGCAGGAAGGTTGACTTTTATTTTCCTCATTTACAGTTGAAGAAATTTCCTCGAGAACTGCACATGCAGAGGTAGAAGCAGTTTGCTTTTCTGCTAATGTAGAAGGTTTTTCAGAGACTTTTATAGGTGACTCATCTGAAATACATGTTTTTAAGTCCTCTTGATATGTTTTCCAACTTCTGTTCAGTAAGAGATCTTTGTGAATTGGATCAGTCATCGGATTTTTTTAGCCATATTTTTCACATGAGGTTTCTTTAGAAGCCATTAAATCATATTTAATAGTCTGCACTGCATCTAGGGAATCAATCTTAAGAGAGGTTCCATAGTCAGTGACAAGTGTATCCATTAAGTTGAATGCACTTTCCACTAATGGGCCATGGAAGCAGCTAAGGCAGGCTTAGACTAATTTAGCCAATGTAGGATACTTATAATCATTTGTGAAATCATCTTTTAAATTAAAAACTTTAGACCAATATTTATCAATTGTACACTTGACTTGATTTCCACTTTCATCAGATGTGTAGAGCATTTCTTTGGTGATATCAATATCACTCTGGTATAACCTTATTTCAGCTTCTACTTTTGACTTTTCATTATCACTAAAAATATGGGACATAAAAGATGATAATTTTTCAAAAGCTAATATTGTACTGGTTTTACCTCTTAGCTCTGGATCTAATGCTGTAAAACTAATTAGATATGAATTTTTAAGGGGTAATTTCTGTTTCATATGCTGTGCTGTATTAGTATAAGCTTTCATCAGAGAAATTTGGAATTCTTTTGCTATTGGATGATTTTTTGATAATTTCTTCAGGAGAGTCGAAGCTTCTGCACCAGTAAATATTACTTTGCTAGGTAGATGGAATTCTGGATTTGTGACATCAACCTTTAATAAATCATTATAAGATGTGCACTCTGGTCTGGTTTCTTCAAGGGCTTAAGTTTTTTAATGGCAAGGGATTCACAGATTTTGAAAACATTTTCTCTTTTACTGCAGCTTTTCATATCAAAATAGATGTCATCAAACAAATCTTCTAAGTATCTATCAAAACATGAAGCAAATTTTTTTGCACAGTTATTAGCTGTGTGACATGTGTCACCATCAATATCTAATAAGTGGAGTACTTTGTTTGATCGTAGTCTGGTTTCAACACCCTTTTTTTCCCCACGCATGGTGTTACACGAGTCCATTAATACACTAATTAAGTTTGCCCATGGAATATTATTATCTTCAATAGTATTAACAACTGCTTTAAAAAACAGCTTCTGAATTGCAAGATTCCATCTTTAGAGATGCAAAATGATGAACTACAACTTCATTTTGATTGTTGTCATAAAACTGCACCAATATTGCCAGTATACTTTCTTGAGCATTGCTAGTACTTTCATCCAAATTTAGAGAAAATGGAGTCTCCTTTAAAGTTTTAATGATATTTTCCTTAATAGTTTTTGCAAGCCCATATTTCATCTTATAACATGCAGTAGTCCTGGACATTTCCAACGAGTTTAGTGCCGTCTGATCACGGCTCAACTGTTTGCAGAGTTCAATTAAATTGGGAGCTACATTGAAAGAAAGAGAATTCTCGGCGATAAACGAAGTTATTAATACCTAATTCAGGAGACAAACAACAAAAATCAGTGTTATATTTACAAAATTTTCACAGGACTAGTTTCGATGGTCTTACCGAACCACCATCCTCAGCTGCAAAACCGCAAATGAACAAGATAGGAAAAAATGATTAGATAAGATAAGAAAGCCTGGACAAGAATAAGCAAGTGGTGCCATCTGTTGGTGAAACCAGAACTAAAACATAATTTCTTTAAAGGCCGAAGGCAAATTTGGATTGGAATTAGGATCGTTAACTAGAACAGAAAGATTTTTATGAATGTGAAATGCCTCTAGAAAATCCAGTTCTCCAATGGAAGATGTTTTTTGAATAACTTTGGCAGCAGAAAAATTGAAAGTGTGATTTTCGGACCAACAATGTTGCGCAAAAGAAGACTTCTGTGTTTCCTTTTTTCTAACATATGCCTCATGTTCCTTGACACGAAATTTTAAGGCTCTCTTAGTTTGGCCAATGTAAATTAAACCACACTGGCAAGGAATCCTATAAATACCCCAGGAATTCATATCCGGAATGGGGTCCTTAAGTATGGAACTCGGAATTTTATTGATGGGAGAATAAACAACCCGAAAGTTAAATTTCTGCGAAATATGTGCAACTTTATAGCTAATTGATGGAAAGAAGGGAATGACAACAGAATTTTTATAATCTCCTAAAACAAGAGTGTGCCTTTTAGTGTGTTGAGATGAGAATTTTTTAACTGCTTGATTAATAATGTTGGGTGAAAAGCCCCTGTCAATAGCTATTGCTTTTAAATAATTTAGTTCTTCATCAAGGGCTAGTTTGGAGGAGCAAACTTGAAGAGCACGGAAAACATAGGAATAAAATGAAGCTAACTTTTGTTTAGTCGGATGACATGATTCCGACTGGTGGAAGGCAAACCGATGAAGGTTTACGGTAAACTGTAGTACTGAAGTTGGATGTGTTACATGTGACCAGAATGTCCAGAAACGGAAGAAAATTGCACTGAATAGCAGGATCAATAGAATTCATTGTTGATAGAACTTTATTTAAATCATCTTTATTACCTTCAAACAGGGTAAAAGTATCGTCTACGTAGCGGAACCATGCCGGGAAGTTTAAAGTTTCAAACAATTTTGATTCATAATAATGCATGTAGATATCAGCCAGGATGTTACTGAGGGGGCTTCCCATGACTAATCCCTCAGTTTGCTTGTAATATTTATTTTGGAAAACAAAATGTGTTTGTTTCAAACAGAGTGAGAGAAATTAGCTCATCAATTTCGATGCAAGAGAAATGAAATTCGCAAAGTCTGGTTTCTAGACATCTTAATGCACCCTCCACCGGGACATTGGTGAATAATGATTTTACATCAAAAGAAACCATGAGTAAATTACTAAGAGAAATATTTTTAAACTTTTTTACAAACTCTATTGAATTTTTTATGGTGTAAATGTTATTGTCTAAGAGAGTGGAAAAATCTAGAAACCAAATATTTAGCTAATGGATACGAGGCAGTACCTAAATTTGATACAATAGGGCGGAAAGGAATACCACTTTTATGAATTTTGGGAAGAGCATATAATCTGGCACAATTCGCAACAGATGGGATAAGCGAATGTTTTAAGTTACTTGAAATGATTTGCGAAGATTTGATCGCAGTTTTTATTTTTGACAAGCTGGAAGGTGAAGGATCTTTAGGGATCGGATTATATGATCCTTCGTTTAAGAGTTTAGTGACACCATCGATGTAAGTGTTCTTATCCATGACGACTATCTGGCCACCTTAGTCGGCCTTTGAAATGATAATATCTGGGTTAGAATGAATTTCGTGCATTGTAGCTCTTTCTTTCGCAGTTAGATTTGGTTTCAAAGGTTTATTATTGAATTTCACATTATGAGCAATAAGATGCCTAATCATTTCTTTCTGTGAATCTGAAACTTTACTGAACTTGAAAGCTTTTTCGATAGGAGCCAAAATCTTTGGAATCGAGGGTTTACAGGTTTGTGAGAAATTAAAATTATATTTTAGAAATCTCTCTTGTTCTTCTGAAAGACTAACATTAGAAATATTAACTATTGGCTTGATGTTTACAATGGGAAGATTTTTTGAACTACTTGAACTGGAAGACTGTAAAAGGAGTTTTTCGAATTTAACAGCAAGGGTGTTTTTATTAATACCTTTTGGCGTGCTTTTATTGTCACTATATCCAATGGCCGAGCATCAGTCATCAGTATTTTTTGAATTAGCATAATTACTTAAAGTCATTGAATGTCTAATGCACTTTGAATATTTTATGTGCGTCACAGTTTTAGAATGATTTGTGAAAGCCTTGAATAGATTTGTGATAGTCCCACCATACTTCAGTAGTGAGTTACAAAAAACACAATATGCTTGTCCAGCAACATTTATTTTCTTGCACCATGTGCCGATGGTATCCCCATTACCATCTCTCCGTTCAATCCAATTCCACCTAAATGCATTCCGGACGCCTTCTTCTAATTGTATAATATCACTATTTATATCGAGAAATTTCGTAGTGAAATTCTCTTGCGTACATAAATAAAAAAGTATTTCAACAAACGAAACGAAAAAATTTACACGTGCATCAATAAATGAAACGAAAATTTTACACAGCAGGAGAAAAAAAGTTGAGAAGCGATCAATGACAAATAGCTAATATGGCGAAAATTCCCCTTTCTCTACTTATTGGCGCCACGCCAGGAGAGATAAGACCTTTGAACCCAGAGTCACGTGATCGCATATCTGGTCGAACGAAGTCTCTCCCTTTTTTTTCTGCCGTGCCTACTTGCCGAAAAGAATCCAGAAGAGAATGTCCAAGAACCGGGGGAATGAGTCATAACTCGCAATAAGGAAAGAACAAAAAAGAAGTTTTTCCCCCTTTTCACGCATTATCACTGCTTTTGGAGAAAGAAAGGAAAAGTTTTCACCACACACACTGACCTTGAGTTTTCTGCTTTCAAAGCAAACAAAATTACCCAGATCAAAATAAATAATTCATTATTATTCCTACTTCCTTTTGAACGACGATCCCTGGAATTTCCGGGTATTGAAATTCAAAATCCCCGGAATTCCGGGGTTTCCCCAAAGCACAAACACCCCTGCTTTTTGGATAGTAATTTTAATAAACAAAGAATTAAAATAAAGTAACTTATTTTTAAAACATCTTATTGACAGTAAGTACTTTGAAAGCAAGAATGTTGTTATACCTTTAATCTGAAAGTAGCATATAGGCCAAAATGTCAGCTAAGATCTTTTCAAATTAATTTTTTAACTTATTTCAACATCTCCACATAAAGTGACATAAATAATAATCAAAATATGACTAATATCTTAGTGTATATATCTTTCAATAGAAAATTATTTGGCACATGGTGTTTTATAATGGTAGGATATCCAAAAAGACAACTAAAGAGCAAAATAGCATGGAAAACTTATAAATTGACCTTTAGATTTTTCAAATGCCTTAAAATTACTTGATGCTTCTTCTGTCTTCCGAGATTCAGTAGGGCGTCGACTTAAAACAGGAGATGTAGGAAGAGCTCCACTAAAATTTCGAATCAATGACTTTATAGAGCGACCAGTATTTTCAGGAGGAGTCTCTCTAAATACAAACATACAGACATTAACAAAATAAATAAAAAATAATACATACTGGTTAAAGATGCCAATAATGTCTTACATAGCTTTCTTACACAATTTCAGAATTAGAGGATTCAGGAAGATTTTTAACTCTACTTAATTTGAAATACAAAATGTCTATTTCTCTGTACAAAACAGTTATCTAAAAGTGATCAGTGTTTCTCAGAATCTAAAAATCTGTATTAAGCATTACTTATTTTTTCAACATTTACCTCAACTGAAACCAAAATCAAAAGGAGTCATAAGAGATCATATTAAAAATAATTTACAGTATTTTTACTGTACATATTAGAAAACACACACACCTAAGGAGCTAAATAGTGACCAGTTTTCTCAACCTAATCTTCATTTTCATTTATACTCTAAAACTGTATCATGTAAAAAGTGGATCATCTTTATCAGCTGTATCTGGTATTCATGGCGATAGGAAGAGGTGTTTCTGTTATCCATATATTCTGTGAAAAGTCATGACGATCGCCCTCAGATTGATGGATAAAAAAGGTTCTACTGCATATTCCAGTTTGTATGAGCAAATAAATAACTATGAGAATAAAATTTATAAAATTTCTAGTTATATTTATTATACTTGATTGAAACTAAGGGAATCAAAATTAAAAACTAAAAACTACAACATAATTATATATCTTTACACCAATGAGCAGCTTGCGTGAAAAAGATAAACAATTCATTTTGTACAGCAAGAGAATCAATCTAATTACACATATTCTACCTGATCTTGAAAACTTGAGCTCATGAAGAATTTAAACTATCATATTTGTATTCAACAGACAAAAATTTTAAAAGGTCTATTTTGTTTCAGGTATCATTTGGCTGATGTTTGAGGTAACCTAATTCTATGCTTTTAATATAAAGATCATGTACATAATAACCTTTGTATGCATCTTTACATGAAGAAACACAATACTTGAAAACTTGAGCTCATGAAGAATTTAAACTATCATATTTGTATTCAACAGACAAAAATTTTAAAAGGTCTATTTTGTTTCAGGTATCATTTGGCTGATGTTTGAGGTAACCTAATTCTATGCTTTTAATATAAAGATCATGTACATAATAACCTTTGTATGCATCTTTACATGAAGAAACACAATACTCATAAAGGATTTTAGTAGTTTTTTAAAACATTATGCAATTTTCAGAGGAAAAAAATAAATAAGGAGGAGAGAAAAAAGTAATATGGAAATCTGCCACTTAATCTATGACACAAAAGGGCAAAATATATCAATCCTGTCACATCTCATAACTGGAGGAGCTTTGAAATTCATTACATGATGATATGATGAAATTTCAAGAGTTCTTAGCTTCCTGAATATGATTTAGTTAGAGAAGTGACAAGTAATTCTCCTGAATGCACACTGGTTTCCAAAAGTTAATCAAACAATGCAAATTAGCAACTTTTCAAACTGTAAGGAAATTTGAGTGGCTCAAAATCATTGTGGATGCCAGATGCAAATATCATATGTTACACCTAATCGTGAATGACTGTCTAAACATATGCTAATTTAGCCAGTCACTGGAGACAGCAGCATTTTAAAGATTTTGATGAGGTTAATTTATATGCTGTTGCAAAGTGTTTATAACTTTTATATGATATTTTTTTATGATATTTGCATTTTTAAGGTCAAACAAGGATTACCATCACTTCTGAAGATATATATATTGCTACAGATGAATGCAGAATATGAGTGGCAGATAGTGAACACTCACGTGCTGTCATATCCATTAAAGCAGGACAGTGAATAAAAGATGTCACTATTTTCTTTTGTGTTGATCATTTGGTAATTTCTCGAACGTGGAAACAATTTCAAAATGTCAAACAGTTGTCTAAAGACCTATGCCTGGTTAACCACGGATCACCACCACTTCTGAAAATTGGTATATTGCTACAGTAGCCAAGAGGAATCAATAAACAACTTTCACAAATATTATGACCATACTTGCAGCATCACTTGGCAAGATAATATCTGTATGGTGAAGACTTCACATGAAGGGACTGTACAAGTATTTGTGTTCCACTAACCACCTAATCCAAAAGTGGTATCGTCAACATCTCATTTGGAATGTCTCATATATTGGCAAAACGTCTTGTTCATGGGCAAATCAAGATCTGCTCAGAAATCTGATGATAACCATGAAAGGATCTGGAAAGAATAAGGCACATAGAATCAATCTCAGGACATCAATGAACATCACAGAAGTGGCAACATCATGGAAAGGACAGGACTATGAATGGGATATCATACTCAGCTGCTATCTCTAAACATATGAAGTCCTATACTCTATCATGAGACTCTACACTGTAACACCTGGTCTTGATTTTCTCCTTATGAAAGAAAATGCTAGTCCCCAATATTATTTACAAGAACCCAGAGAGTAAGAGCATTTTCCCTAAGGAGTTGCCACCACATTCCTTCAATCTTAATCCCATTCAAAATATTTGAGATGTTTTCAGGCATGCTGTCTCTACATGTTTACCTCCTATAGCCACTCTCAGACAGTTGGAAACTACCTTAATAGAGGAATGGCCATTGCTAGCAACTGCAACAGTTGATTGCCTCATTGAAAGCATGGGCAATCACTACAAGGGGGAGGTCCATACCTTACTAATATAAGTTTTATTGGTTTAGTTTCAGCTTTAAACATCAAATGTGATATCATCATATACTAAAATTAAATATTGTTTCCATCCTTGTAAATAATGCTTGTTTTCTTTCATGCATATTTCACTATCTTCATGTGCAATCTGGTGCTGATCAAGGCTTTATTTCTATTCTTGTTGATTTTAGCAATGCAATTTGACTTTCAAAAGCCAGTGAATATCCAAAATATCTTTGGTGAGAGCCATAAGTAATTGATGGTCTTGACCCTTAAATAGGAAAAGACGATTCAACTCCTTGTAATATACACCCACAAACTCTAAAATCAGTTAACTGAACTTGTAACAAATCAATAGCGTTTCTCACACATTTTCTTATGGTTTACGATCACCACAGCTAGAAATTAGATCTTGGGTTTAATGCCTGGAAGTTTTATTATTATTATTATTTCTAAAAAAAAAAAAAGCCTAATGACTGTATCAACTTCTATTTAAGGAAATATCCCTTAATGCATTCACACTTTTTTTTAATGTGAATTAAATAAAATTAAGAACTCACTGAGCTATCACATAAAAGTCATCCATCAATTCAGAATGAGCACACAAATCATGGCTTTCTGTATCACGGGTTATTTTTGGAATCTCAACATGTTCACCAGCTTGAAGCTCTGATATCTAAATAAAATAATTTTAAAAAATCATCTAAATGTTTACACTGTTTGTTTTCTTTAGGCACTTAAATTTGCACCTAAATGTTTAAGCACTTATAAAAAATTCTTCTTAAATTCACAACAAATGATTATTACCAATGATTTAACATTAATAAACACAAAAGTAAGTCTACTTTTGTAAATATATTAAATCAATGCAAATTGATTATATAAATGAAAGTAAAATTTAAGTGGCACTGCCATGATCTCACCATCATTTTAAGATACTACTCATGCTTCTCTAGAGGGCACTGGGGACATATGCCATATCGTCAGATTACAACAAATGCTTTTATGATAGGGTAGAAGTAAAGTCAATGGTATCATTCGTATCATGGATGTCTCTAAATGTTGTCAATGTGAAGTTGTGCAATTTGTAATGGCTGAAAATGCGAGTGCTGCAGAAATTTATCATCACATGCAAAATGTGTATGGCACAGCGTGGCGTGTATGACATGCAGATCACTATTCAGATGGTGTAGCAATTTTCACATAAGATGAAGCAGTACTGATGGCAGGGCATGAAGATGTCAAGTGCATGTAGTTATCCCCCAGGAAGCAACCGAAGTTGTGGACAGTCTCGTGAGAAATAATCGGGAAATGACCATTCGCAAGATAGCAGATGGAATGCTTACCAGCAATGCAATACCAAAAGGTTTGCACACAATGGTTTCCAGAACATCTGACAGAGGAGCAGAAGAGCTAACAGCATGGGTGTTTCAATGAAAATCGTTATACGTTGCCACAAAATTGAGAACCATTTCCTTTTTCAGATTATTGCCACTGATGAAACATGGTGTCATCAATTTGAGCTAGCCACCAAATGCACAAGCATGGAATGGTAACACCCTTCATACCAGTGGCCAAAGAAGGTTCATTCATCGATAACAGCTCGAAAAGTCATGCTTCTTCGACATCGATGGCCCACTGCTGCTGGAATGGCTGACTCCAGGCATGACTGTTATTGTTACCAGCTATTGTGCCATATTATATAAACTGAAAAACAAAAATCAAGAATTTGCAACATGGCATGCAATCATGCAGGGGTATTCTCTTGCATGATAATGCTCGTCCTCATGTATCTGTTGCATGCAAAACATTGTTATGGCAGTTTCACTGGTAGACTGTGAAACATCACCCTAGAGCTCTGGCCTCTCACCTTGTCACTACCATGTCTTTTGTCCATTCAAGAAAGCTCTGAAGGAACAACAATTTGCAGGAGGTCCAAGCTGCAAATGAAAACTGGTTCCACAGCTAATCCCAAGTTTCTTCACCCAGGATATCCATCAACTCACCACTGGGACACCTGTTTCAACCTCCAAGGCACCTATGTCTAGCCTATATGTTCCGTATCCTTTACAATTTTTTTTTTTTTTTTTTTTGTATATTTACTTACAGCAATACAAATATCTTTGCATACATAGTAGGGAAGGAACAGCAGACCATTACATTTTTGACTGCCCACAGACTTCAGGATACCAGCTTAAAAAACAAGCTTCCACAAACTTTGCGTGGGTCGCTAATATTAACAGCACCAGATCAGCACAAAATAAAATTTCCTCATTACATACTGTGCCATTGCCTACTCTACCACGTCAAGCCATGTGCAGCCTGCCTTATACATGTTGACTACGTAAGTTTTCTGCAGCAATAGGACTACAGTAGCATACTCCCCCCTATACTCAATGATATTCATAACATTTAACTCTGTACATAATTCAGTATTAATATCAATATTTCCGATCTCATTACTTGTTTATCAACTGTCCATATGTTTGAATGACTTTTCCTCCTACATTAGCTTATGCCCAGCAGCAATATAACTTTGTACGTACAACACTGTTACAGTTTTGCCTCTCCTTGATTGCTCATTAGTGACTCGTGTACTTAAGTATTCTGCAAAACAAAGTGAACTGTCATCTTTCAATAAGTTTCAAGCTACATTTGATTGGTTAATCAGTACTCATATCACTGTCGAAGCCCTAGTATCTTCCGATGAGCTGGCATCTAAATTCTGTACTGCTAACAACCCGGTCAGAGGTCAACTCAAGCCGCGACAGTAATACTTCTATTAAACCATTTATCACACTGACTGCAGTGCTACTTATAGTTGGGCAAACCTTATATTTTACTTTTTAACTACAAAATCTTTATTGAAATAAAATATAACAAATAAAGAAATAAAATTTTCTCATTTGCATTATAGCAAAAACATTGATGTGCAAAAATTAAAGACAGAGTAGGTTTTTCCCATGTAATACAGTCAAAAGTTGTTAATTCGGATACCCATAATCCGGAATGATCTATAATCCGGACCTGAAAGCTACAAACTTTCTGCGCATGCGTCGCGTTGACACATACGCATAGGTGGTTGGTTACATGTGCGCGTAAGACCTTTACGGCTGCGAATATGCATGTGCGTGTGCGCATAAAACGTTTACGCATGCGTGTTTAATGTATAACGGACGGTATAAGCTAAGCTAAAATTATCTAATTCAGTTAATGTTGCAGATTGTGTTTTTCCTTAATCTTCAAATTGGATCCGGCTTATTTTTTGCAGACTGTTAGAGCAATTTTATAAAAGTAAGCTTGAACTTTCGATTATATCAAATAGAATCTCTGATATATATTTGCTAATATGTAAAGGATCTAAAACAAAAGTATGTTTCGAAATCCGAAATCTATTTATCAATTTCACGCTGCTCAGCGGGGAGGAACGCCGCGGCGCGCAATGAATTGGAAGTTGATCTGTCAGCACTATCCTTATCTTCAAGGCAGATGTTTTTATTTTATTTGGCTTATAATTCCTTACTAAATGTAGTATTTCATCTCGATGTACTCCGTCTTTGATATGATTTAAAACAAGTTCCTCGTCATTATAATTCGCTTCCGATAGTGAAGAAAGTAACAGAGGTTATTGAAAACGAAAAAATTTCGATTGACAAATTAGTCGGTATTCTCGACACAGCAATTATAGGACTTGAACAGCGGAACTTTGTAACTAAACAAGAAATTATGTCTGTTTAATAGAATTAAAGAGAAAGTATTATCCCATGAAACGAAGCAAAACTTAAACAACTTACATTGAAAGAAATGTTTAATAAAGTAAACAAATAAATATTAAGCTTTTTCTTTTTGTAAATTTTGATACCCTTTAGATCATAATTGTTATTTATTTCATAAATTACGGTTTTATATTTTTAATTTTGTAATTTCTGCATGCCATCTTACCAGATTTAAACTGATGATCTATAATCAGGAAAAATCGATAATCCTGAATCGCCGAAGTCCCGATGAGTCCGGATTAACGACTTTTGACTGTATTGCAATGCAATGTTTCAAATCAGTATAAAGCACCTTTGAGATATAAGACAAAAGGAGAGCAATGATGGCAAAGAACAGAACACACACACAAATATATATATATTCAAAAACAAATTTTTAGCAAAACAGAACAGAAAACAGCAACATCCATATGACATTCAGTGGAAAAGGAAAATGCCATTCTCGGTACAAGATATGATCAACTCTGACTGTAAGGAAGAATATGCATTATCTGTTTATGCTCATTAAGTAATCAATGAGCTTTTGAGGTATTATTCCCCATTCTTCATGTAGGCCAATAACAGCTCTGGTATCATGCTATCAGGTATGATGGTTCCAGAAATTTAAGTCCGGGGACCATAGGAAAATTCATACAACAAATATTTTCACCCTTCAACTTCATTTTTGTAAAGAAGAATATAAATTATATTTTTTCTTACATTTCGAAAATGTGATTAATATTTTGGGCAGAAGAGGACAAGAATAAGCATACCGTACACTATGACTCTACCATATGGTGATACAGGTACTATCCTGTGTTGCTACTGATCCAGTGAAGCATCATGAAGTATTTCCAAAGTAAGAGGATCTATGCATAAAAAAACTTTGATACATGACTCTGAAAATGACGATGTAACATTAAATACTATGATATGTGATTTACGTTTTTTTATATGTTTTATCTGTAATTTAATACCTGACTAAAGAATGATCTGTTCGTTTAAACTTCCCCAGGAATTATTTGTGAAATCTCCTTCAACTTCCATGTTCAGCAAGATTTTAGAATTGGATCAGATGTTTTACTTTCACTTTTTAAGACCAACAAAATATGTCTGCTTTTATGCCTGAAACGAGTTTTTTTTTTTTTTTTTTTTTTTTTTTTTTTTTTCCTTGAAAGCCTATATTACTTTAAATTTAGGTTTTTGATATTCAAGCTGGTAACAAACAAAGTGATTGTTTTTATAATTTTACAGCAAAAATTTTTCATTGGCTATTCTAATGCTAAATCCCTTTTTTTAATCACTCAATTATTCAGAATTTGGCATTTCCCAAACTTTCCAGATAGTAATGCTTTTATAATATAAAAACCCCATAAAATTTTTGAAAATGAGGATACTCAATACTTTATTTCATCTAGCACAATTTTAAAAAATTAAATTCCATATGAATTTGATAATTTCATTCTCCAAGTTGTAATTTATAAATTACTCCCCTCTCCAATTTCAGACAAAATATTTCTTTGCTGAGCAACATTTAAGGCCAGGCAATAGGGCTATGAGATGATGATTTTTTTTTTTTTTTTTTTTTTTTTTTTTTTTTTTTTTTTTCTGCAGACAGGTATGCATCCACTGAGATGCATGCTGGCAGTAGTGGTCATGGGAAGGTACTGTTTAAAGGTTGGGCTGTACATGTGCCACAACTCAAAGGGAAGATTCCCATATTCATGAAAAGTCTATGAAACACTGCACTACATCTGCAGCAGACATTTGAACTTTTGTTGTCACCATTGTGATAAAATAAACCATAACAAATCAACTATTTGAAAAACAGCTACAAGCCAGATGCCTGTGGCCATACCACTAACCCCAAATCACCGTCATCTGCGACTTTGGTGGTGTCAAGCTAGAGTTCACTGGAGGAGGGAATGCAGTTCTGTTCTGATCTCAGATGACAACCATTTCTGTCTCGGTGCCGGTAAAGCATGAACACATTGGACCTACACCAGGAATCTGGGGAGCAATTTCCTATGACAGCAGGAGCATACTTATTGTTGTATCATACACCTTGACAGCAAATTTGTATGTCAGACTGGTGATTGCACCAATTAGGCTATTTTTAAGCAATATTCCAGAGGATAGTTTAAGCACAATAATGCTTGCTCCATACCATTGCTGTAGAATGTCTACCTATGCTCTACAGAATGTCTACATTGGCTTGCAAGATCACCCAAGCTTTCTCCAATGGAGCATTTATGGGACATGATTGGACAAAAAATCCAGCAGCATCCACAACCAGTATAGGCAATTATTGATTTGACTGACTAATTGCAAGAGACAAGAATTCCATCCCATAAAATGACATACAACATGTATGACACAATGCATGTGTATCTGCATGCCTTCATTCAACATTATGGTTATTGCAGCAGTTATTAATGTACCACCATTTCCTACTTGAAACTGCTCTTCTCGTGCATATCCAGTGCCTTTATCATATGGCTAAAACCATCTGGTTGAAGTAAAGGACACATTTCAGTGAATGGCTGTCTGTTATTTTGGCCCCTATCTATGCTTTATAAAATAGCTACCAATTGTTTGGTTACATCTTGATATTCTCTGCTGTACTATAGGTGCATAAAGATATATAAAACAATATTACATAAAAAAGTTAAATTATTATTTTTTCATGATAATTGCAACAAACAATATATGCAACTGACATGAATATCATGCATTTGCTTATTTATTGTGCATAAAATTAAATTACAAGTACATAAAATTGAGGACTTGTTTTTATCAAATTTATCAAAATTAAACATTTTTTTTTTTGCTCACTTTTTTTTTCAACATTTCATTTTCTTCAGAAAGATGCTGAAGCTTGATAAAATCTTCCTCATAACTCAATAATGTTGGCATTGCTAAATTAGAAGAAAAAAATAATAAAACTATACAGTTAAAAAAATAAGGGTACTCTTCTGTTATCGAGACCAGATTCAGATGTGTGTATGGATGTGCGTGCTCATGCATGCATCTATATACATATGTATGCATGTATACATACACACACATGCATATACACATGTGCATACATATATATACAGTGCACTAAAGACCGGACCCTAGTCCTGGATTTTCCTTTCGAAGTTGGGTGAACCGGGCTCTAGAAGGGACCCCTCAGTGGTGGCGCAGACCCCACAGTCCCTGCCCGACTTTATAAGTAGCCTCAGCAAGGGTGAAAACGTTGATACTTAATACAAAAGAACGTCACTAGTCATCTTTGCCTCGGAGCACCACTCCCTCAGCAACAATAAATTTGTCTCGGTGCCTTACCTTACTGCGTCAGTCTCCGTCACTGGGACTATGAGGGCTAAACCCCCATTGAGAAGGCCCATGAAAATCTACAATATAGCTCCACCACAGCTTGAGGAACAGACACGACAGTACCAGTACAGTCTCTGCCAAGCCTGAACCAACCTGAGTACAATACTCGGGTTCTAGTCCTGTGAAGACTGTTGGTATGCCCCCGTGGTTGAGATTGCCTAGGTACAGATTCTAATCAGTACTTCCCAGAAATTCTCCTGAGTCAACCCCCAGGGGGGACATATAGATGCAGTAAAATTCCAGAAATCCGCAAAGCTTGAGACCAGAGGTTGTGCGGATCTTAGGATTTTGCAGATTTCAGGACAGATAAGATAAAGCATAATATTTGAATTAAAAGTGCAAAATGAATAAGGCGTATTAGATACATTTAATTAAATTATTTATATACATTACTGCAATAATTTATTATATGCATTAAATTATTATTACATACATAAATTGATTATATTATTCATTGTATTATATGTACACAGCATCGAGGTTTGCCTATTTCGCCTCATGCAAAGATTTCCGTTTTTGGATTCCGGTGTTAGAATCACTGTTGCTGTAAAATTTTGTCGCAATTCCATACCATTCTGCTATAAATCGAAGAGTAGCACCTGCTTCCATGTTTTGCAGAATTTGCACTTTTTGCGTTACCGTCAATGAAATGTGTTTATGTTTTTCAACGCTGCAAGCAGTAAAATCACGAGTGCGTTTCTTATCTGTCATTTTATTAAAAAGGGCTGAAATTAAAAATATTCTTAATTTATTCACAAAATATTCAGATTTAAAAAAAAAAGGCAGCACTAAACAATCTCATGAAATGAAATAACAAAGCTCAGAAAACACAAAAACGTAAATCGTGAACTTGAACAAAGAGTTGAGTGAATCGTCTGCTCTTTTACCTCGATGCAGATTAGAGGGGGAAAAACTTATTTATTTTAAACTTTTTTATATCAATAATTTGGTATTTCCGTTTTGACTCATTATTATTCAGTAATTATGATGTCATTATTCGGTAAGTATTTTTTTCTTCGATATTTTGTACTCAATGTTGCGGTTTTCCAGAACCTATAAACTGAATGTTTATATTTTGAAAGGCAACATGGATTTCAAGAGTTGGCGGACTTTCGGTATTTGACTGTATTTCTAAAACCAGCCCTGATAACAGAAGAGTACCAAAATAAGTTTGCGATTGCAATGCTTGAGCATATTGCAACTGCAATGCAAACTTAAAAACAGTTAAAGGATAAAACTGAAGTATGGCAGCATGACAAAGGTTTTTACAAAGAAATTATTACTTTACCTAAGCAAATTATTACTAAAGCTTATGAGCAGCAGCTTTTAAAAGCTATTTAACATGAAAGAATTAAACTTTTTTAAGTACAGCAATACCTCACATAGTCTAGCTTCAATCCAACTAGATTCACCATAGTCAGTTTCAAAATTTCAAAACAAATAATATTTTAATTGATCAAAATAAAAATCAATTCTAAAAGATTAGTACTCAAAAATTATTTTTAAATATAGAAAAAATTTTTTTTTTCCTTTTACACAGTCATGTCTCCTTTTATGCATTTTTAAAATTATGCAGTATCAAATATAATGAAATATTTAGTTACACAGATGAACAACAAATTGATCTTGATATTGAATGTAGCCTTAAAATTTTTTGAACAACAAATGGTGCAATTTTTTGCAATGATGAAATGTACAAGAGAAAATGTCAAAGAAGAAAAATAAGCAGTCAACAATATTGAAATTTTTAAAGAATAAAAGCTGAATTACGAAAGCATGTATTTAAAAACATTATTCCTAGCAAAGATATCTGCATTTTATTTATAAAAAGCAAAGAGGAAAAAAAAATTTTGAACCAGTTATTATTTTGTTATGTATTTGATTCCTCAATTAGTCCAGTTTCAAACAGTCTGTGATATGATATTGCCGGAATCAGTTACCCAGCCTATGTGAGATATTGTTGTAGTTAATAACAGATCACATATTTCTGCTTATATACTCAAGTCATTAAACATTCATTTAGTTCCAAACAGTATATATATATACTTTATTTAAATGCAATTTATTCTTATGAAACAAATACTTTAAAAATTAATTACATTCCTAGAAGATGCATCTAGAAAAATGATATAAACTTCATTAGAATACACAACAAATTAGTTCTACAAACCGGCACTTTGAAACACCACACTTATGAAGTTGTGCAGGGAAAGAAGCATAGTATCCTGCCACTGACGTGAAAAGTACACAGCATAAGTAGGATGTTCATCAGCATTTTTTGTAAAAGGAAGAGCTAAAATTAAGAACAACATATTGTATATCAATTCCAGATTAGTTAAAAAATTATAAATCTAAAATTATATATCTGCTACTAATGAAGAAATTCGTAAGTTTTACAAATTATATTTTATCATTTAAAATTTGTATCTAAATTATTCTCTATATATTAAAATTTTATATTTTAATTAAATTATGAGTAGTATTAGTAACTGATTTTCAATTTTTTTTTGCTTTCTTAAGAATCGAGAATTCCTGAACTGATAACTAATTCCTTTACCTTTTAATTTCCTTTAACAAATTATTAAGTATCGTAAGATTCTAAAATAAATTCATTAATAAGTTTAAAAAAAAGATAATAAAAAACACATAAAATTAAAGCAGAAAATGCTGAGCTGTGTTTTTTTTTTTTTTTTTTTTTTTTTTTTTTTTGTTGATTTAATCTCTTAATTACACTGGGGACTGGTACTTGTATTACAGTCACAACAAATTTATTAAAATAGCCTTTCCGTGCACATAAAAATATTCTATTTATTTATCTGCTAATCGGGTCTGTGTTTGAACAAAAAAAAATTCAAGAATGGAAAGGTTCCTTTCGTTTTGCATTGGCATCAGTTTTATGCAAAATAGTACATTATTCATCATTTTTATTATTTTTCTCCAGAGCCTTTCTTAAAAAACCTAAACTCTATTTCCATGATGAAACCCCGCAACAAAATAAATAATATAATATTTGGTGGTCGTGTGTGCTTAATGCATGATATAATTAAAGAAAATAAGAGTAGACAATCTCCTATAACAAAAGAATATATTAAATACTAAATTACAATTTAAATTACATTGCAGAAATCAACACAGAGCTCGGAACACAGTTCATGCTACCTTCGCGTACAGTTGTGTGACGAGAAGTCTGAGTGAGTAAAGATGTCGCTTTGCTGCTCCGATTAAGAACTGGATTTTACACGTGGCGCCATCTCATGAATAGTATTGTCGTTGAAAAAGAAAGTTGAAGTATCTGTCGGAACGCCACAAATATTATAGGGTACTTTTCCGTTTCACCGGCGCAAATCTCGCCAAGCAGACTTTATTGGCGACAACATACAGTATACACATAAAAAATATTTAAAAAAAATTTGTTCTAAGAATTCTTTTAATTTCTTCATAAACATTTTAATATCGCTAAATCTTTATAAAAAGCCAATAAATAAAGACAATAAATTTGTAAAAAGACATTAATTTAAGAATATACTATGCTTTCAAGGTTCAACATCCTGATTCGCCGGTTCATATCATGTGACCCCAAGTGATATCATCTCACGTAAACTACGCTACAAAAATCTAATTCTCTCAGTAATTATCTACATTAATTTCAAGTTAAATCTCAATTTGGAACACAAGTTTAAATGCAAGAAATATTTCAATGCATACGAATAGCTTACTCAGAAATTATGTAAAACTGCAGTGCTTTACTTCTAAGTATCCTTATTAGAATTGATGAATTTAACCCTTGACTTTACCTTTCTATATTTTCGCTTCGGGTGAGAGCTTTGATTGCCTCCTAATTGACTTAATTACCGAAAATGGCCTTAGACATAAAACTGAACTATCTGATAAAAATTCTATGTAATTATAGTATGCCAGTATTGACAGAAACAATCAAATCTGATAAGAAAAAGCTGCGACTTGTTTTGAAAATGTGGCATAAAAGGTTACCAGCGAGAATATTCCGTTTGCATCGGTTGTACTATTATTGGCGACTTTATCGCTTCCGCCGGCAAAACGGAAAAGTACCTATTATAGATATACAACTTGCAATTTCTCTCAGCAATAATATTTTCCTCACATTCTGTATGAAAGCAGTAGTTCAGATCACATTCATTTATTTCTTATAATAAAAATTCTTGCTTTACTAAAATAACTATTGATTACATTTGATATGAGGTCATTCCATATAAATTCTGGTGAAAACTCCTTGCATGAAAAAAACAAGTTAAATATCATAATTTGAGATTGCATTTATAAATTATTCAACATTTTTCTAATATTTAAATTTAAATTATCATATTATTTCTATACAAAGAGGCAGCAGTTCATCTGTGGAGACTGGTGAGAAAAAACTACTTTCTGAATTAAAATCATAATAATTTTCTTAAATTTCCAAAGTTAAATAACACTTCTTTCCAAGATTCAGATATTCAGAATTTAAAGAACAAAAATTCTGAAACATGATCTAAAATATGGTGAGGATACAAGATTCTTTTTAAGCAGGATCCTTGAGTATAGTAGCTAATAGTTATAAAATCAGTAGTGTTTTATTAATAGCCTATAAGAAAATAAATAAAAAACATACTTGTATTAGCAATTACTTCACATTTTTTTTATACTTAGGATTTATTTAAATAAAATCTTTCCACTCTTGTTGAAGCACCTTTTGGTTAGTAGAATTCAAATATTTTGATTTGATTGCAAATATTATCTTCAGCACACACTTCAAAATGTACAAAACACAATAATTTATTCTTGACAAATGTATTTATTCTTTTAAAAATAAACAATATATCTAAGATACTAACACTCATTTTTAAAATAGTGCTAAAAATTTACATGAAGCTACATGTGCTACATATTTACATAAAATGAAGCTAATGAAATGCAATAAATAATTTATAAATATTAAATTTTGTGTATTTCTCTAAATGATAAAAAAAAATCATTTTAAAATAAGCAGTTATTTCCAAGTTTCTTTTATTAATTCTTATAATATGCAAAATTGGTAAAAGTTTAAACTTTTTTTTTTCAGTTCTAAGTTTTAAAAATATCAAATTAGAAGCATAAACAAAATTTTAAATTTTGTATGCTAGTTTTACTTGACTTCCATCAAAAACCAAATGCTGTATCAAAGTCTGGCATTTTCATTGGCTACTGATATTGTTCAGCAAAGCCTCCATTTGTAAACTAATGATAACCTGCAAAGTTAAGCTCTGCTACTGACTACCAAAATTTAAGCTCATAATAATGTTATGCGAATATGCAGGTCGTTTGATTATTAAAGATGTAGACATATACAGTACAAAGTCCGTAATCCGGACTCGGTGGGACTTCGGCGATTCCAGATTAGGGGTTTTTCTGGGTTATAGATCATCAATTTAAATCTGGTAAGATGGATGGTATGCAGAAATTATACAATTAAAAATATGAAACCGTAATTTATGAAATAAAGAGCAGTTATGATATAAAGGGTACCAAAATTTACAAAAAAAAAGCTTGATATTTATTTGTTTACTTTATTAAACATTTCTTTCAATGTAAGTTGTTTAAGTTGCTTCTCTTTTTGTGCTAATACTTTCTCTTTAATTCTATAATCAGACATAATTTCTTGTTCAGTTGCAAAGTTCCACTGGTCAAGTCCTGTAATTGCTGTGTCGAGAATACCGACTAACTTGTCAATCGTAATTTTTTCATTTTCAATAACCTCTCTGTCACTTTCTTCAATGTCAGAAGCGGTATTTTCTGGATCTTGAACCATACTACAGATTTCGCCGTCCGTTAATTGATTGATGTTTGGGGCATTGTCGTCGCAATGAAAAACTTCTGTTATATCATCTTCATTTATTACCGCTTCTCTACATTTCTTTACAAAATCCAATAACTGGAAAATTTCACCTTTGCAATGTCCGAAAACCATCAAATTCGCAGCTATCATCTGCATCGTCCTCACCATGAAATATGGTAGCTTGGCCATAAATTATGCCAAGCATTTTTTAACGTATCTGGAGACACATCTTCCTACGATCTTGTGATGCTCCACACAGTAGATTTTATGCTAAAAAATTTCAAAAAGTTTTGAATAGTCTTGCCATTTTTCAAGAAATTTAACATAGATTTTAAAAATGCTACTTTTTATTTGCATTTCAGCACGTGCACTTTTCCCCTATCCATAGGCTGAATGACAGATGTACAATTTGAAGGAAAGAATAATACGGATACATTATCTTTCACTAAAACTTTAAGTGAAGTATGCGCTAAACAGTTGTCAACAATCACGACTATTTTTGAGTCTGCAACATTAACTGAAGGCTCAGGTGCTGGGCACTTCTTCAGGCGCCTCGGCTGGGAAAGCCGCATCCTGTGTCTATCACGTGTGAGGTGACATATCTTTTTACTGGCATATCATGGCATATTACTTAGAAGAGGAAGGTTCCTCATGATAAGTAGTGAACGTGATAAGCAATGGATGAGCCTTTCGCATAAACAGCATGGAGAGTTAGTCGTGTTCATGGCTGGAGCTGCGAGAAAAACCTAAGTGGTGCTACTGCTATGTTGGCCGGTGCTCAAATAAAGATGAAATGGCATAGAGATGGTCGAAGAGGTGTCGGGAGGAGCTACTGGTCACGTGCGCCAATGGTCGATCTGTAAAGAAAGTGCACAGTCTTGCTTGTCAGGCATTGTATGGGGGGAGACTTAGTTAAAAGTTGTATCTTATAGAGGATTTGAATTTAAAGACAAAACTAGGAATTATTTGCATGGATTCAAATAATAACTAAAAAACTAAAATGGGGAGAACGCAAAATAGTGAAAGGATCATGTGCTAAGATAATAAGTGGCCTAAATAACTATTATGTATGGTCGTAACAGTGTTATGGATAAAGAGTAGAAGAATAAAATTTGAAGTTAGTGGGAGTGCATGTAGATGGCGACACTTATGCATGTCCTAGAATACCATAGAAGTAGAAATGCCAATACAATTGAATTTTATGAATATTGGTGCGAGAAATTAATCTATAATTTGGGTACAGCTACAATAAATGCCGGAGTACAGCTCCTGGTCTCTTTTTATTTTCATCAATCGTATAGTCGTAGGTCAGCCTGGGAATGGAACTATTATTAACTTTTTCAATATTGTTGAAAAATTTTTTTGCTATTTTGGCACTACAAATACTCATGCTATCTATATTCAGTTCATTATGGATGGCTTCGTTTCTGAAGTACCAGGGGCTGTTAGATATTCTTCTCAGT